GGGGATCTTTATTTCGGATGAAAGTGCATGAAGAAGAGATTCATTGGTCGATCTCACCAGATGAGGACGGATGAATCTCGTTGTACTTCAGCCGTTTGGTTTTTATGCGATATTCATGTTGATGAAGTCCACGAGACTTCCTTCCTCGTTTCGGGTGAAAACGTGCTGAGTTTTCGTCCATCATATGATGGATATCATCAGAGCTGGGTTTCATTCTTATAAAAGTCTCGAGTTAACACTAAACCAAGAACACTATTCGGTTTTATCTTATATAGACTCAATCGAGCCAAAAAATTAAAAACCTAGATAGATCAATATGGAGTGGTTTGGTTAATTTTCTTTTATACCGGTTCTATTTTTGCTCGATTGTATGAGTATGTTTATTTGTGTGTTAGCGTCTATATGCAATAAGGTTCCTAAATCAGACTTGTCAAGGTTAAATCTCAGTTTTTGATCCTCAAGACCTAATGACCCAAGAGAAAATCTTTGACCTAGACTGCCCATGTCCTTAAACAAGCATGGTTGAGATAATGAAATATGAGCTTGTAAACATGAAAATCAAGTTACGAAACCACTTGTCCTAATCTTTCCGTCAATGGTCACTAACGCTTAACGGAAGGTCTTTTTCGATCTGAAATATCCGGAAACGCGAATAACCCAGGGCAGAAGGAGATATACCATAATTGTTTAGCACAAGTTTGGTCAAAGGATCGGCTTCACTTGTCTCTTTGACGAGTTGTTGTGTGGTGCTAAGATGGCGATAATACTCACTGACGATGCTGGCGAAACGTTTGGGAATGTACCACGTCCACGGTTCAACTTTGGAAATAATTATGCAGACAATGGACCCCGGACTAGGTGCGTTCCAATAAGTCTTCCTACCAATATAACCAAGTTGCGAAAACAAGGTCAAACAACTTCCATAGAACGAAAGGAGACTGCTAACACAAAAGGCCACACCATCTTGGTCCTCATACCTTCAATAACATGATGCCTGTTCGTATTATTATTGTAAAATTTAGCTTTCAATCCTTTATCCTAGGTTATTTCGACCCTTATTTAAGAGCTAAAGGTTTTTGTAGTTATATTCATATATATATATATATATAACATTCTAATACATACTTTCCTAAAATGATTGTACTGGGATCGAGTTTTCACGACACCGGTTAACTGATGGCTAAACATTACTCAAATGTAAAGTTGAAATCGCCCTCTGTTACTGTTAGCCTTTGGTTTTCCCTAAGCGCCTCGATTCCAAGGCATATGATTGCTGAGAAAAATTCGTGGTAAATTTTAGGAGAAAGGGTACTTCACTTCTATATTAATTATTTTAAGACATCTTTTGTCATGACCACTATGGCAGCACTTTTTGTGCGTAATTCACTAGATATTTTGATTTATATGCATTTATAAAATTCTATTCCTATTTCTGAAGACGGTTTGCTTTCTGTATTATTTAATCTCGTCTTTAGTCATTTGCTTCAAGCCTCCTTTTTCTGGACGCATCACACACTGGTCTTTTCACCTACTCTGAGGAGGCTGAGGCCCTGCGCGCGGTGCTAGCAGTGGGTTGGGACTCAGTTGGCCTCATTGACCGTTTGCACGGTCGTCTGCTGGCCACGCATCGGTTACCTGCCCGCCCGGTTGGCAAGCCTATTCTTATCCCTCGATTGGCCCCGCAGCACAATGACAAAGACGAGGAAAAGCCTGATATGGAGAATAAGAGGACATTTGGAGTTGAATCAAGAGGCTCACACAACCCTAATTCATCCGGGAACTGGTCCCATCAGTCGAAGACTGATAAATTAGGACGCCCGTCTAAAGTCTATCAGCCAGTTTCTCTTAGGATGTCTAGTGGCTCACTTTTTATCCTACCTTGTAATGACATGTAAGTTCACTTTCATTTTATAGTATTTTCGCTCTAATATTCCGAGACCTTGTTAAAATGCTAATCATCAATTGAAAAGCTTTACTATGCTGTCTGATTTTATTTTGTATGTTTACTGAATAGCTAGACTTCGATTAATATCTTACTTTGTCTCTTTTGATACTTAAAACCTTTGTTGAGGAGACTTTCATGTCGTATGAAAGTGCATAAAGAAGAGATTCAAAGGTCGATCTCACCAGAAGGGGACGGCTGATTCCCGTTGCACTGCACCCGTTTGGTCTTAATACGACGTTTTTATCATTACATCATTTCCAGCGTCGAATTGTGGACTTGGTCTGACGGTGAAAAATGTCATGTATTCTATGATAGGACTTCGAAGGTGCGTTCATTCAAGTCTTTCCGAGAATCAGATCAACTCTAGAAAGCGAAACAAAATTTTGACGAAATTGGGTCTAAATCTTAAATATAAGATCGTAGCTATGAAGACCAAGCTGATTTGGCCTTTTGTTTGGTCAGTCTCCTTTAGCTTTATAGTGCTGATTCGACCTTGTTTTCGCAACTTGGTCGGAGCGTCAGGGAGACTGTGGAATGTACCTAGTCCTGTGTTCTCTGCCGGGTGAAGGGGAGATCAGAATGTGTCAGGAACCCTGTAAACGGCATCTGGTACTGGTGGTGAAGATGATTACGTTTCACTAAACCCATTTATAGCGACACTCCTAGGCGACATTGGAGGAAATGAGAGCACATAATTGTGTGAATAAGTGGATGGGCCATATAAGTGAGGTTAGAGAAAAGGAGGCGGCCCCAGAAGGTAGAACTAAAATAATTGAACTGATGAGTGATGCCACAACGGTTGGACAGAAAATGGGTCAAGGTGATTGCTTCACTTGTCACTGATAAGTTGTAACTCTGTGCTTACGATGGCGCCTCTCACTGACGATGCTGTGGAAACTCTTGAGAATGTACCCAGCCAATGGTCCAATGTTGGAACTCACTAATACTATGGCAGAGGACACGGGATTAGGCACGTTCCACAAGGTCGAACCAACACCCAAATACAAGGATTGGAGACTGCCTCTTCGAAATCAAATTCTTATGGGCTATTGAACCTATTCGTTTGTGGTAAAGTTAACTGTCAATCCTATCACCAGTCCATATATATATGCGTACCCATTTGCTCTTTTACTGTATTATATCATTTGCCTTCTCTCATTTGTCAGGCTCCTCGGCTTCACTCTATTCTTCAGTGTCCGCTGGCAGGCAATGGCCGCAACTTCCTTGGTCCTAATAAGCAGCTTTTTCCTCCTTTACTTTTGCTGTGATTCGAGTGAGGCTGGTGTGGAAGATGGCGTTTCTTAGATGATTCCACGATCTATTCGAATTTACTGTTTCCCAACATAGCAACCTGTCATCTTGTTGGTACCTAAATCAAGCCTTGCTCTACTTGTATATATCCTTTAAGCTGGTATATTTATTAAAGCATTTTTTTTGTCAACTTCTTTGTATATATTTTTGTAGTTAGTTTGTAGACTAGCTACATTCCCGCAATAAAGGACAATCACTTAATCATCTTTGTATGGTTATATACGTCAGATTTACCCAGTAATGTATATTCGACCTTATTAGATGGATTCGCCATATCTGTTATCAATCAAATACATATTGCAAAGTTCTCTTTTAAAATGGCGCCGAATTTTTTAGACTATGCTATCGCCAAATGCTAAATGAAATCAGACCTATCTTAACAAAAAAAAACTTCAGAATTCTGAACGCGCAATTACGAAGCAACTTCATGAAGGGGAAAAATGATTGAATGTCTCTAGTAACAAAATATTCTACTTTGGTAATTAAGGTCGTATGGAGACGTCCAGTACCAAATTTAAACCTGCTTCAATGGCCAATGCGAATTCGGTAGTTACGACCGACTTTCATTTTCACTCCACTATATTGCTAGCTGCGAGTTTCGTGACTCCGAAATTTATTTATATGGTTTTGATTTGACTTCGTTTTCTGATCTTGTGAAAGGTACCTAGTCCTGCGTCCTGTGCTTTCGAGCATTCATAATGATTTCCAGCATCAGACCGTTGACTTGGTACATTCCCAAACATTTCGCCAAGATCAGTTAAAGGCGCCACCCCTTTACCGATTTTATGTTCAATCGTAGTGGCACCATTTCTCACGTATTTTTTGTCTCCTGTGTTGCATCTCTCACTCAACCTCAATTCTTATGGCTTATTCACATATTCTGTGATCTCATTTCCTCCAATTTTGCCTAAGATGAATTTAGTGGAATATAATTAACTTAATCACTGGTTTCAGAGTCCGTTCGCAGACTTTCACTTAGACCCCCCTTCATTGTTTATCAGTAGTTCCATGCCTGGCTGCCTATCGGCCTTCGATTGTAATATGAATAAAAAATGAGTCTCGAAGAATTCCTTTTCGAAGGGAATGTAGGTTGTAAAGAATTAGTGATGTGGTCTCACCGGAAATCGAAGAGGGATTGCCGCGTAAGGAAGACTTGAATTGTGAGAAGTCCTCCGCTCACCATCCTACGACCCCGATGAAACTGTGCTAAGCTTTCGTCTGTACTGTGACAGACATCATCAGAGCAAGATTCCATGCCTTATGAAATAGAGCAAAAATATACTAAACTAAGAGGTGGCAGGCTACAACCCTAGTCACTTTTTATGCATCTAACTAGGCCTCCCATGATTTAGTTTGATAATTCAACCTAACTATATGCCTGCAAATGAGTGAAGTTAACTTCCCGAACCGGAAATGCATTGGGTGGCAGCTGTTTCATTACACAAAAACTAGTGTACGATCGCCAAATACAGAATTATGTTTGGGCTTTTGTTATTCTATATTGTGTGTATGTAATACTCATTTCATGGGTAGTATGATAGTCCTAACTAGACACGAGTCTAAACCAGGCTCTTCCTGGTCCCCCTTTCTCCATTTCCTTAAGTCTATCCAACAGCCACAAGTAGTCCCTACTTTTCAACATTCGTTCCTTCTATTCAGGACGCTGGGTGTTTTGTTAATTTTTATCGACTCCCTTATCTTACGCTTTGACGTGAATTCTCCGTAACCCGTAAAACATGTTTTGGAACAGTCTATAGAGTGTCATGTATTTGCCATGTGTTCAGCGAGCTCAGCTCTTTGGATCCACATAACTCTACAGGCTCTTTTGTGCAAGGTTATACCTTGTAAAACCAAGCCTGATTAAGAATTGCTCAAGTAGAAAGTTCTAGTAAAATGTTAGAGGCTAGTAGATTCATATTGTCTGGTTTTACTAACGTCTAGCAAAAAATATGGAAACAGGAGCCCCAGATATGGTGATCAAGATGTTGCGGCCTCAATTTTGGTCGAACTCTTTGGATATTTAGATTTGGCCTGACCTCGTTTTCGCAACTTGGTCTTGTTGTCAGGACGACTGAATTA